CTATACTCTGTCCTAGGCACCAAGGTACTAGAAACCTTAGTAAATATTAATACCTGAAGTCTCTATTATCATTATATAAATGACTGAGTTGCTATAATTTTACCAACCTATGATTGTTATTGTGAGTAGCTTCTATTAAAATCTTGGAGTAAGTAGTTAGGCTAGTGAAGTATCCCTAAAGTTGATGAGAACTCTGAAATAGAAACTGTGTGTTTTATTTAATAATACTGGTTGGGCATTTTTTATTAGTCTGCAAAAATAAGCCTGATTAAATGACCTTTACCTTGGCCTTTATTATAAGGGTTTGTGAAAATGTTGAATACACAGTCTGTGCATTAACTACAGGACATATTCTACAGCACATACCTTATTCATCCTTCAAAACCAAATTTAGTTGGTGCAAAATTTTCCATAATATCCTATTGTTGAAGTAATAGTGCAGTAAGTGAAATACCATTAAAAAAACTTTTCAGGACTAGAACTCATATTTAAAATGAGATAAATATCTAAGATATACAAATCAATTTGGTGGTAATTTTGGTTAAGTTATTTACACCATTAGAAGAAGAGGTGGGCTTAGCAGTAGTTGTAATTTATTCATGTATAAGCACATAGTACTCTATTCAACAATCATCTATAGAAGGCTACACATCTATGTTTACTAAATGTTTGCATTAATAAGGTTATCCACTAAATAATTGTGGTATCTATAAAATATTAATATGTAAAATAAATGGACAACACACAGTGACGTAGAGTCATCTATTTAAAACACATAGATCCGATGCTGGATAAGCATATGCATAGGGTACTTGGAAATTTTGCCTTTATTCAGCCATATCCTATTTGGAAACAGACAATATTTTGCCAGTCAATCCTGAAGCATACTGATTTTTAAGGATCAATGTAGTGTGTATGTTTTTATTTTATGACATCCATCATGTGTTAACATATTTGTGTTGTGATCCTAATGATCAGGTTAGCATTCATTTAAAAAAATTTTTAAAGGTACATTAATACATTTTATTTCATTAGAATGCCTTTTAGGCATTTACTGAGAGTTTACCTGGGAAAATTAAATTATAAATCTTTTTTGATAGTAACTAGGAAAAGTAAAAGTTAGCTAGCTTACCGTATTTGTAATGACCTGGATATCCAGAGACACTGTATAATAAAATCAGCCCTTGGACAGCTCTCCATGGTGTCTTCTTAGTGCACCTTTAATCATGGAAAGAAACCTGTAAATGGATAATGTAATTGCTGTTGCTGAACATAACAAGAGTTACTGCATCTTTCTGATTCATGAAACTGGGTCTGTGTGTGTCCCCATCAACGCTATATGCTTTTAATCTCTTGGCATGCTACAAAGCAAAATGCAATTGTAATTATTGCACAATTATTTTTCTAATTTATATTCATTCCAAAGCGTTTACAATTTATCAGCTGCAATTGGCATCTTATCTACTCTACATTGCTATTGCAGTTCCTGGCCACCTCTCTGAAGATTGGTAACATGTTTTCCCCTCATATCTCTAGCAGACCAGGTGCAGAGTGTGCAACACTTCAATTACTAAACATCCTACCCACACTCAACTAAAATGGCAAGTACTCTCTACACGTATCCTCCATTTTACATCATAACTTCTTCTTTGAAAATGAGAGCCAAAAGAGACCATTTGAGAAGCACATGCAAATGGTGTGATGACAATCCTTTATGGTCCCCCTGATATGAAATGAAATCTGATAATGAAATGAAATGAAACACTGATAATGAAATCTGAATTATTTTCCAACCACCAAATCTTAGGGAGTCTGTCCCCTTCCATCCCTCACCTTCAATATTTGTTCTTTCTCTCCCACAGCATTGCATCTCTCCCACAGCATTGCAGTCACATGGACTCCAGTCAGTTCTGGGAAAAGCAAGCTCTTTCCGGTCACATGGCTTTTGCATGGGCAAATTCACCTGCCTGGAATGCTTTTCTCTTCATCTTACACAGACAGATTTTTCTTTTCCACTAGGTTTTTCTTTAAATGTCAACTCCTTAGCAAGACAACAAGTTTACCTTGGCAAAGGAAAAAAAAAAAAAAGGTCTTTCCTTGCATTGTCTTTCTTAACTCCTTCCTTGGTCCTCTCTTGGACTTTCTTGCAGCCAGTAATTACCAGTTCTCTTGTGTATTTAGTTTTATTTGTCTTTCTCCATTAGAAAACAATCTTTATGATGACAGGCTAGGCTCTTTTAGATACTCAATAAACATTTATGGAATGCATACATACATAAATATATTAAATAATATACAAAAGGTAGGCTAAAGCAGCACAATCTGGAGCTAAATGGTGCTAATTTTAGACTTGAATTTTAATCTCAACTTTAGCATTAACTAGCTATAAGGCTTAAAAATTTTTTTCTTGCAGGGGTGCTTGGGTGGCTCAATCAGTTAAGCGTCTGCCTGCAGCTCAGGTCATGATTACGGAGTCCCAGGTTCCAGTCCAGCATCAGGCTTCCCACTCAGCAGGGAGTCTGCTTCTCCCTCTGACCCTCCCCCCCTCATGCTTTCTCTCTATCTCAAATAAATAAAATATTTAAAAATTTATTTCTTGCAATGAGAAGTTTTAAGATCTATCCCTTAGCAACTTTTTTTTTTTTAAAGATTTTATTTATTTGACAGAGAGAGAGATAGCGAGAGAGGGAACACAAGCAGGGGGAGTGGGAGAGGGAGAAGCAGGCCTCCCGCGGAGCAGGGAGCCCGATGCGGGGCTCGATCCCAGGACCCCGGGATCATGACCTGAGCCAAAGGCAGACCCCAAAGACTGAGCCACCCAGGCACCCCCCTTAGCAACTTTTAAATATACAATACAGTATCATTAACTGTAGTCACCATACTATACATTGCATCCCAAGACTTATTTTATAATTGGAAGTTTCTGCCTTTTGACCACCCTCATGCATTTTCCCACCCCTCTATCACAAGATACTTTTACAGGCCTAGAGAAACAACATTATTGGGAGCACAGATTATTTTAAGATGTTACGTTTTTACATAGGAAAGCTCTTGATTAAAAAACATCCTAAAGAAATGTGACATGTTTTTCCTACTGTCAAAAACCCAAATTATTAGTGTCATGGTTCTCACCGCTGATTTCATGAACTTTTAACAGTCCTATCACATTTGTTAGCCACATATCCCCTCACCATTGGCCCCATTGTAGCATACACTCAACTTCTGAGTGGGATGAACATGGCTGGTGCCAAGGGAGATCATATTTGTTAGTTCTGAGTCACTGAACTTCTCTGCCTTTGTCTTCATTTCCATACCTATAAAACAGAGAAAGCAATACCCATGCCATGTTTTTCAGAATGCTTCTGTGAAGACAACTTGAGATAATGGATGTGAAGATACATGACATTTTAAAAATTAAATAATAAAAAAATGTATCATGCTAAGTACAAAATGCAGATTCTGGGGAAAAAATAAAAATAAAAGCTGAAGTTTCCAAAAGCAATAAATAAATAAAAATTATATAAGCAAAGATACTTTTCCAACCTTATCTTGAAAAATAAGGAAAAGATTTGAATACAGGAAGAGAACCTGGAAAAGTTTTAGCATGCTTTATTTTTAGGAAAATTAGTCCCCATTCTTCTACAGTGAAAACGGTGCTGGAGAGGCAAATTGGAAAATGATTGTTTATGTCAAGAGACGGTGGAAAGATTCTTTTAGAACACTTGAAGCGTGCAAGCTGCATTTTTCAGGCCCCATTAGTTTAGTAAGAGAAGGATGGGCACTGCTTCCAGTGTTGGTGATACCTGGAGGGTTTAACTCTCCTTTAAATAGAGGTGGGATGGATACAAAGTAGCTCAGCAACAGTACCTGGTGAAACACAGTGTCACATCTAAAATAGGGAGAAAGGGGGAAATCAGAGCAACCCTGGTTACCTATTTTCTAGTCTCTTTCTTCTTCCACTTGCCTTCCCAATTCCTTCACAAACTGTAGGTAACTCATTATACTGCTTTTTAGTTTTAAAATTCAGCCCCTTCCCAGAAGCTCTCCTATCGGTAGGAATTGGGGGAGGAGGAGTGGATAGGAGGGAAACCAGAAGTAAGTCAATACCATAATGATTGTACACTGCAAGCGTGTTGCTGTACAATATCACCCCAGAGCCGCTTTGTTTATCAATGAACATCCTACTGCGTCCCCGAGATGTAGGTCAGGCTCATTGGAAATATCAGCCGCCGATCACATGCAGTCTTCATGATATTTCCAGATCGGGTGCGCTGCTGAATCTTGCACACTGGAGTGCGTCTGAGCTGCCTGATGGAGAGGGGACACCTGTACCTTAGGGACGCAGGTGAAGTCCCGTCTACCTTCCTGGTACTTTCCTTGGTGCTTCCTCATTCTCTCAGGCACTCACTCTTCATCTCCATCTCCCCTGCTGCCCTGGACCCAAGCTCCTCTGCTAAACGGGTGCTTTTCCCGCTCTCTCCTTTCTCCGCACCTCAGCAGAAGACAGAGTGCTCCACGCAACTGGGCATGCCTAATAACCAGGGAAAGCTTGGGCTGCAAGAAGAAAGGTTTGCACCGTCTGCGCTCCCCTCCCCTCTGCAGCTGCCTCCTGCCAGTCAGGCGATCCGACGTGCGGCGCGGCCCAATGAGGGTCTGCAGCCTTCGCGGGGGCCCGGCCTCTCGTGGCGCCACCACCAATGAGTGGCTGGCGGAGGTGGGACGCGCCCTGTTCCCGCCTCTCCAGTTAAGGCCGCTGGTGTGAGCTGGGGCTCGGCGCGCGCGAGAGGGACGACGGAAGGGACCGGCAGGTGTGGGCGCGGGGCCAGGCAGCCCGACGGCGGGAGTCGCAGCCGCTCGGTGCATGGGCCAGTGAGGACGCGCGGAGATCCCCTCGCCGCGGTGGAGGCGGAGCAGCGCGCGAGCAAGGCGCTGCCTGGCGACCCTGCGTCCGAGCGAGCGGAACCTTGCGCTTCGCCCGGGGACGGTCCGAAGTCCGCGCTATGGAAGAGGAGAAATATTTGCCTGAGCTGATGGCAGAGAAAGATAGCCTGGATCCATCTTTTGTGCATGCATCGCGCCTTTTGGCGGAAGGTAGGACTTGCCCCCACAGATGGGCACAAACCTCTGGCCGCCCTTCTCACCGGCGGCTTGATTAGGGGAGTGAAGTTGGGGAGGGACGCCTGTCTCCTTCGCAGAAACTGTCCCCCTGAAGATGCTCGCTTCAGAGCTCGGGCGGACAGAGCCCGTTCTTGGGGCAGGCAGCAGTGCCCCTTCTCTACGTTTTAATTTGGGGAAGACCAAAGCTATGAGATGTAATGGCAGTAGTGATGTGACCTGTTAGGATCATTGATGGAGAAACCGTAAAGTGTAGCGCGGTCAACAGGGATATTTTCAATTTGCAGAGGAAAGGGAAATCAGTTTGGAAGTAAATGGTGATCAATGTAGTGTTCTAAGAGCTTCTTAGCTACAATCAGCATTTATTTATTTATGTATTTATTTATGTATTTATTTATTTATTTAATTTTTGCTGCATTTGGGAAGTGAATTTTGATACCCTTTATCTAATTACAGCCTTTCCTATGGAAAGTCTTAGAATTAACCTAGATTAAAACTATGCATGTTCGTCAATGTTTGTGAATGTGATAAAAGCTAAAGTGCTTATCAAATTATTTGAAGTGTGATGATTGGGTACTCTGAGAGATACTGGCCCCTGGGAACACTCCACAATTGATCAACTGTTTTACCAAGTGTGCATTTTCTTTTGTGTACCTGTAATGTTAAAGGAGATTTCATTCCCAGAGGAACACATATATCTTGTCTTTTGCGTTGCTTTGAAAGATTGTTTAAACACACACACACACACAAACTTCTGTATGACAGAAATATTAGCCCAATTACTCCATTCATCTTAAAATAATGCCATCTCTCTGTTAAAGATACAATACTGTAGTAATCTACAAATGCCTTTTTAAAAAAACTCCAGATTTTTTTTTTGATGAATCCTTCTTTAATAATGAATTGCTTCATCATTAAATTGACTACAATGCAGTTTTGTAGCTTAGGTTGTTATGGACTTACCTATAGCAAAACTAAAAGTGACAACTTCCTTTTCCTTGGCCCTTCCACATTAAAAGAAATGTTTTCTTTTTTGAGACCGAGTTGTACATGGAAGGAAAAATTGTAATCCTCTATGTAAGGTTCAAATAACCACTTGGTTTATTTAAATATTTTATTTATAGAGTATTTATAACAACAATGCAGTGCAAGGTATTTTTTTTTGTTTTTGCATACTAAACAAGAAAAGATTTATAATCAAAATCTTGCATGTGTGAAACAGCTAAACTGCTTTTCAGGGAAGAAATTGATTTTCTAGAGGATTTGGAAAGATAAAAAGCAATTATGCCTACTACTTTCTTGGTTACTGAATGAAAATAATAATTAAGTTGAAAAGTAAAGTCAATTTAGAAATTAAACTCTCCCTCTAGTTTATTGAAAATAAAGATAATTGCATAAAATAATAGGAATATTGAAAATTAATGAGTTAATAAATGCTTAAAATTGTTCAAAATGATTTAAAATGCAATTAAGCTTTCTGAAATCATTTATTTCGATATATCTTCCAGAAGTGTCTTTATTACGCTGATAACGTCTTTAAAATGAAAAAAAAAAGTTACGAATTGATCATTTTCTCTGACCTGCTAATTGGAGTTCTCTTTGGGACAGCAGGCTCAATGATTAATTCATCAGTCATTGATGAGAAGTTAGTGGAGTTGGTGTACGTTTCAAAACTGCCACACTAAAGAAATGCAGATGAGAAACTCTTAGTAGAGTGCATAAGTATTTCTGCGGCTGGTGAAACAGTCAGAAAAGGCTGTGCCCTTGGTTCCTTAATGTTCTGTCGTTCCCAGAAACTTGATTTCTTGATACTTAGGAACATGGTTGAATGTACCTTGTAATTTAATTTTTTCCCAGTAGGGGGAAGCATGTCCTGCTTTTGTAAAGAATTAGGAGGAAAAAGCTCCAAAATAGAAAAACATCTAAGTAAGAAACAAAGAAAGGTGTCCAAATTTCAGAGAAATCATAATGTGGAAAAGAGAATGGAGGAGGTGATGATTATAATCTTGGAGTATATCAAAAGATATGCAAAAAAATGCATAAAGTTTACATTAATTCTTTATTTGTACGTGAAGTTCTTTATGTGTACTTACTGAAGAGTGTAAGGTGAGTGTCCTTTGGAATCTCTAATAAATCTTAATGTACATTTTACATTATAGATCTTTCATTGTTTTTTCAAAGGCCATTTGCCAAGATATCCAGGTTTTGTTTCAGATCTCTATAGGAGAATATGTTGAGATGACTTTATTTCTCTTACCTGGAAATGCACTGATTGAAGGCAGTGGCTATAAATAAACCTGACATAGATATTCATTTGGAGAGAAGGTGCACACTGAAGTACATTTCAGTCAGTACTGTGCAGACTGTCTCAAGACTGAGTGAGCAATAAAAATGATCCAGACGATTCAGTTCTTCAGAATGATTTTCTGGAAGCTAATATATATATATAAGGTCAGTGATGTAAACCAAGGAACTTTCACAGTGATTTATTTTGCATTTTCAATTGGCGATAAATGCAAATCAGTGCTCAACTGCAATTCTTCATAAGGCCATGGGCTTAAAAGTACTATTTTGTTGATTATTTTGTTATTTTTATTGTAATTTGTTTTATTTCACTTGTTTCTGCTATGTGTTTTCAGTAGGTATGAGTCTATGAAAGCTAATAGAAGAGCCCATACATTTTATATATTTGTTACTTAGAAAAGATCTTGAATAATATGGTTTGAAGAGTGCTTATAATATGTTTGATTCATTAAAATAATTTTCCTCCTGTGATTATAGTATTGTTTAATTATCCATTTGTTAATGGAAGGTGCTTTTGAATATGATAAAACAGCAAACTCAGCATGATCCTTAAAGTTCCACTCAGCCTCTGAATTTGCTTGCCAGATGAAATTAGATGAGGTTATTTATATCTATGCTACTTCTGGGAAGTGCACTAGACTGTGAATCCAGATACCTGGATTTTAATTCCGCTTTTGCCTAAACAGAATGTTGATAAACTTTCCTTCCCCCCAAGCCCCATTTCCTTTTCTCTGAAATTAAGGAATTGGACTAGATGATGTATAGGTTTCTTTGTAGTCCCAGACTTAATTAGAATTGCAAAGTTCTCTAGTGTGCAAGATTTCCTAACCCGACTTCTTTACAAATACTGGTAGATTCATCACTGTTTTGGTTGACTGACAAAATTAGGAAGGCAAATATTGCCAAATATCCCAACAGTTAAAATGTTTTTTTACGAGTATTAGGTGCTATTTTAAAATTTGGTTGAAAAGCGTGGCCTTCCATCTAGGATTGGCCTTCATGTTTGCAGATTTAGATGAACTTTTAAAACCATGAGAGAAACAGGGAATAATATTTATCACAAATGCTGACTGGCAGTGACTTAACTACATGTAGGTTCTCGGTAAGGATCATTATTTAATTAGGTTGTATTCCTCAAAATATTTTCCACAAAGCATAGAGAGTTCTTAAATTAAGGAAAGGTATTGGTATAATGTCTAAAACTAGCTTCTGATAAAAAAAAAACAGTAGTCATGTGACTTTCCTTTTGATTAACGTAACCCCTTTTTTCTCCTAATACATTTGGGATAATCTGGTTTGTTTCTTAAATAAAAAATAAAAATTGGCCAAAAAAACAATTTTAAGATATTTTTAATTTTCAATTAGGACACATGTATGATACAGTGGAAAAACTCTGCTTTAGCAAACAAAACACTTGGGACAGAGTGTTGACACTTCTGTCTACTGTGAATTTATGGGATATGTCATTTATCTCCTCTCTGATTCTCCTTTTCTTCACCTGTAAAACAGGAAAAGTTGTATCTACCACCCATGGTTATTTTAAGGTTAAAAAAATTCTGTTTGTGATAATATAAGCAGTTTTTATACAAACTTAAATAGGTTTTTTATACAAATATAAACAGAAATTACACAAATATAAGATGATGCTTTTAAGATTCTCTTTAACATTTTAATGGCATTGTGGACTTGACCTCAACTTGAAGCTTGGCTTTGTAAGAAAATAAGCACTGCCTTTACTCTTTGGATCATTGCTGAGTGAAATTTGAACTTATAGACCAAATTATGAAATAAATTATCTTATGAAAAATTATTCCAATCAGGGTTTTTAAAATACCATGTTTCCTTATGTTCCCAATGGTCACTCTCAGTGTTTTACTTGAGCTTGATTAGCCCTTGTCCTGTGTCTTTCCAGGGTAATTCCAAACCTCCTCAGACCCCCTCATAAACCCACACGTCCTTCACTCTTGGCAACTGATTTCATCCTCTGTTTTAGCAGGAAATGAATATATCTCTTCTGATGCTTTTCAGCGTCCTATCATCTAAAAACCTCCATAATCCTCCTTACTGTCTTTCATTCCCAGATGGTGAGATGTTTTGTTGTTGTTGTTCTAGGCTGACTTGTACACCAGTATCCTTGACTCTAATGGTCATCACGTCCTCCAGACTCGTTCCATAGTCCCATCCCTTCTTCATCACTGTCTCCACTTTCCTCCTCCCTCTCTGCTCTTTTACTGTAGCAGCCTGTAATTGATCCAATCTGAATAACTTAAAAAAATTAAAATATTTTTTAACTCGCCAAAAGTAACCAAAATAATCTCTCTCAATACTCCCTTGTTTCCTCCAAGTTTCCAGTAATATTAGTCTTAACTGGCTGCCTCACTTTCTCAGTTTACCTCTTCAAAACTCTTCATTCTGGCTTCTGTCCTCATCATTGTCCTAAAACCAGTGACCTGGAGACCGAATCGTCTCCTAATGGCCAAATCCAATAAAATCTTTCTGACCTCTCATCAGGTCTCTTGGCTGCAGTTTCTACTACTGGTCTTTTTTCAATTTCTTGGCTTTCCCCTTGGTTTCCAGGCACTATCATACTGCTGGTTTTACTCTTCTCTGTTTCTTATCCTCACCACCCTTTACCTGTCTTCTCCCCTCCCCAGCTATGCTTGCCAGAGTGA